GGCCCCCAAACTCTTCACTTTTATTCAAACCGTGGGGTTTTCGCAGTGGGGTGACATCAAACGTCCGCTGTGCGTGCGCCGAGCTGCTCCGTTCTCCGCTGGCTCCCGACCCGTTTGGCTCCCGCCGAGGGGTTTAACAAAATCCCAAAAGATTTATTTTTGGGGAGTTTTTGGGGTCCTGGCGTGGGGAATCACATTTGGGAGGATGAGGGATTTAAAATCCATTTCCCTGCTGGTTTTGGGTGGGTTTAGTTTGGTGTTTTGTACCAGCAAAGGGTTGAAAGGAATCATTTGGAAAAGTGAAAAAGGGGAAAAATAAAGGGATGTGAGGAGGATGGATGGATGGATGGATGGACGGACGGACAGGGTGTCTGTCTGTCCCACCAGGGACACAACTTCTCCCTGTTTTTTGGCTCAGTTTGATCCTGCTTTGGGATTTGGATTTATAGGGCTGTGGAATATCCAGATTCCTGACCATATAGGATGTCTGGGTCGCTGGATCTATAGGGTTGCTGGCTATATAGGACTCAGGAATTTAGGGCTGCTGGTTGTTTAGGGTGGGTATATGGGATTGTGGAACATGTTTTGCTGGATATATCGCTTCCTGGCTTGCTGGATGTATAGGATTGCTGATTTTATAGGGCTGATGGATATATAGGGTGCTGGATGGATAAAGCTGCTGGATGTTGTTGCATATATGGACTGTTGGCCATATAGGATTGTTGGATGTGTAGGTCCCTCGCTTGGCTACACAGGATGTTTAGGGTTGCTGGATATGTGGGATTGTGGAATATTTAAGGCTATATAATATTTATATAACATATATATATATATAATATTTAACGAATGATTAAGCTGCTGGATATGCAAGAGATTGCTGATTGTGTAGGGGTTTTGTGGATGTACGGGTTCCTGGTTGTATAGGTTATATAGGGTGGGGGGATGTATAGGATCGCTGGATTTGTGGGTCACTGGATCTATGGGGCAATTGGATCTATAGGGCAGTGGATCTCTGGGGCAGTGGATCCGTGTGTCCGTGTGTCCATCCGTGTGTCCGCGTGTCCGTGTGTCTGTGTGTCCGTGTGTCTGTGTGTCTGTGTGCCCATCGGTCCGTGTGTCCGCGTGTCCGTGTGTCTGTGTGTCCGTGTGTCCATCCGTGTGTCCGCGTGTCCGTGTGTCTGTGTGTCTGTGTGCCCATTGGTCTGTGTGTCCGTGTGTCCGTGTGTCTGTGTGTCC